AGATTTTTTTTGTTACAGTTAGTTACTCAAACCCAAACATTGCCTATATATGTTACAACGACGGGACGGACTCGCTCAGTCAAAATAATTGTTATACGGAAAGCCGTTATAAAAATTCAGAATCTTGAAGTTATAAAGTAGACAAATACAATGGTAATGATAATGTCTAGTGTCACTGTTTAGCATTAATAAAAAAATATCATTCTTATAAAACTTAAGTAATGATGTAAAAGGAATCTTTGCTTTTAAGAATACAGTTACACGGTGAAGTATTATAACGGGTTGTAGCACCAATGGATAAAACTATCGATCTTATGGAGCAAAATTACTTAATGCCCGAGCAATTTGAAGTATGGCATTGACATCACTTGATCTTTTATGATCGAAACGATTTAGAATTATTACCCTATATAAAAAAGGAGCCGATTTAGTCAGAAGTGTCACTATTTTTATGTGAAAACTTGCGAGTACTCTTTGTGTTTTTTATTGTTTGTTTTGTGCTGAATATTGATCTAATGGCGGAGTCAAACCCTTTCCAAATGATTTTTATAATATACAGATTGGTTTATTTTGTGTTGTTACACCATTGTCCGACATAAAGGGACATAGCTTACGAACATGTTAAACCCCATCACGATAGTTTATTTGCCTGTGATAAGCCAGAGAGGAACCTATAATCCAGTGGATGTCGTTGGTTGCTGTGTGCCATATTTGTTTTATTTTAATTTTTTTTCATTGCTGTAACATGATACCGGGGCCTCACTGGAAGATATGGGTTTTGCTTATTGTTGAATGTCGTAAACATTATGACTTTAACCCTTTGTAAGTTTTTAACATACAGCAGTAACAATGCAAATCAGTGGTGAGAAACCAAATATCTAAATTTTGAACACGAACAACGAAAGTAAATGTATTTTTACAAGGTGGTGAAGTTGAAATCATCCCTTCGAAAAAAATTTACGGACGCAATCCCGTGGTTGTTGCCCGTTATAGAATATCTGTTTCACAGGTGACGACGGATGTGTTCTAATCGTCGTAACCACAATCGCGTCTTCTTTTCCTCGAATGTGACCTACCGAATTAGACTTATCAACGGGTTTATATGTACATGTGCAACACGACATATGCCACATGTGGAACTGGACCTGCTTACCCTTCCGTAGCACTTGAGATCACCCCTCTGTTTTTGTCGGGGTTAATTTTGCTCAGTCTATAGTTTTTTATGCTGTGTTTTGTATAGTGTTGTTTGCCTTTTGTTCGTTTTTCGTTTATTGAAAAGGAGTTGTCAGTTTGTTTTCGACTTATGAGTTTGAAGAGCCCTTTGGTATGTTTCGCCTTTCTTTTATAACAGAGAACGACTGCCAGTGGACATTGTAAACTTAGGCTAAAATACATGTATTCAAAGTTTTTTGTACGATGTATATAGGAAACGTTAGCTTGTTATTTTAAAACATAGAAAAACTGGCTGAAAATTAATTGTTCAAATTTGAAATTTCCTACATTATGGTCAAATTTTGACACATATTTCATTTTGACTTTTAAATGATTTCTATCTTTTTTATTTGTTATTTTGTCAAAATCATTGAGATTTTACTTACGGAATGTTCGCTTTTTTGCTCTCATTTTTTTTAAAAATTTACCATGAAAAAAAAGTTTAAACTACACAGCTACTTTATTACAAGCAATATAGATGTACATTTAGTAAGACGCATATAAACTGTACATTTGCTGAGAAGTATATTAACGGTACATCTGTAAAGCTGTATATAAAATCTGCATTCGTTGAGATGCATAAAAACTTAATATCTGTGAAAATGTATTTATTCTGTACATCTGACAAGATGCATTTCAACACTTAACATTATCATATATCTTTTTAGATGTACAGTTTATTTGCATCTTTTCAGTTATACATTTTATATACATCTGAATTTAGGAACAGTCAGCAGATGTATAGTACATGTGCATCTCAACAAATGTTCAGTTTACATGTATATACATCTTTACAAATGTACAGTTAATATGTATCTTACCAGATTGCTTGTACTAAAATAGCTGTGTAGTTGTAAAAATTTTGGAACTGCATGTAATTTTCCAGAAAATGGAACATATAGATAAACGAATACAACAAAAACTTGTAAATTATAAAAGATAAAATAGTGTATAGTAAAATTACATTTTGACAGTTATAATTTTTTTCAGATTTGAAAGTCCAATTGTTAGGAAAATGTTGACACCGAGGTTTGTTTGTACAAATTTATGCCTCAATATTTTGAAAAAAAAGTAGATTCTTTTAAATTTTTAATTTCATGATATCAAAAGTATACATGATCACATGGTTGGAAAAAAGTTGAAATGTACCAATGTCCATGTTTTTCAATCCTGTGAAAAATAAACTGTATTTTTTTTTAAATTTAGGAAAAACAAAATTCATTGGTTACCCTACTCATAAACATTTTGCCAGTGGTATAAAACTTATTTCAACTTAACCAGTTTCGCTGTTATTATACAATTGAAAGAATAAAATCAAATTTCTTTAAAAATTTATTCAAAGACTGTTATTTCATTACTAGGTTAACAGTGTGGATACTACACAACGTAGTGGCCAACCTACCCTTTAAATTCCTCTGCTATGTGAAACCATTGCTACTGATAATTAGGAATTAATTAATTAAAATAAGCCTACAGATAAATAAATAAAATAACTAGCTCAATGAGATGGACTATGTTGTCTTTTCAACCTATCCGAAACAATAATTATAAAGAAGAATAAGTTCAGAGCGGTTTAAGGTCATGTGCAATTTTATTTTCAATGTTTTCTCATGAGGCCATCCAAACTGGATCAATTATTAATTGCGAAATTGTTTACTATTAGAAAGAAGCTTGAAACTCTTCCAAGTATTAAAACACATTCAAATAAAGTACAAAAGAGAAGTGTAATAGCATGAAATGCGTTGATAACAATAAGGGTTATGTACGTAAAGTTAAATAATGCAATTACTGAAAGTGTTTATTAAACACGTATGCAAACCAGATTGGCATTAAGTATTGCATAAATATAATATAATGTATTTTCCCAAAATTTTGATGAATCAGTTTTAAATTTTTGATGTACATCCACTGGCACAAAAAAAAGTATGGCATTCAATTCAAAGTATATATATATATATGTTTTGGAAGAGACATATTAAAGAGCACGCACTTCTGATAATTTTATCATTATTATTTTGTTGGTATTGATTCTAAATATTATCAGAATAAACTACAGATGCACTGAGAGTTAGTTAAGAAAAGTGAAGATCATGGCGAAATATTTTCTTGTTTTATAATAAAGTATGTCAAATGAAATATAAATCTTAGTGCTTTAAGACGTCTACTTATATTACGCAGAACTATTTTAACATTTTTTATAAAATGTTGTTTATTTAAACTTGGCAAAATACAGATCACATTAGTCGGCATGAACCAAAAAATAAAAAAAATTAAAAGTGCATTTGCATATGGATGATTCGTGTCATGTTTGGTCGCAATTGGCTTGTTACTTTTAGATCGATGGACGACTGTGCGAAATAATGAGAAAATGTTAGGTGAGCTAAAAAGATAAAGTTGCCTGATAAAAAAATGTAAGATTTCTCAACATTTGAATTCCAGTAATTTTGGCAAACGATACAATGAACAGCAATAAATGTCACATAAAATATATAAAATAACGTTATGAGATGAATAAACTTTTAGATACTATTTTTCAACGACAATCTCATTACATTTATTGTTTCGATGCCAAAATCTTGTCACTTCTGTGAAGTCTCGTGCACATCTCGTAAATGTGCAGATATGTTTGACAGCAAGGTTAGACATAACGATTGTTATCTCGCGTGGTTTCGTCATTACCGAGATCTGATAGCAAATTGTTGATCGAAATTGTCACTCAAAATGTTAAACTGTTTTATGTTACTTCTATTGTGTAACCGTTACAATACTTATTCATGAAAGATATCACATTATATATGCGTATATACTATTTCAAGCACCTTAAAATTTTAAATGAATCATCCCCCTCGTAAATGTTAAAGTTACAAGTTAAATATTATTTTGATACATTTGATAAGTTAAGACAGCAGACACGTTTTCTGTAATTTCCACAAAGGTATTGTTTATAAGCTAATCTGGCCGTAGGCCAATATGACCCGTTCTATCACTTGACGACCGTCATCGGCCGTCCCGTTTAACTTTACTCTCGAAACTACAAAACATGTTTTTTTAATCTAAATCTGACAATTTGACCTTTGGTTATCTAGCTTTAAGTTTGCCAATTTTATTCCCGTTTATCAATCAACCTGCTCTGGCTAGAAATATAACAAAACGATACTAAAATGCAGGTAATTGTCCACATTTTCAAAACCATAATAGATCCAGAAAATCTAAGACAAAAATGTTCAAGTTTCAAGAACTGTCTACACTCTCTATTTGTGCCAAAATTATAAGTTATTGTCATTGAAATTTTTTTTTGATCAATTGTAACATATTTTTAATTAACTTGAAACTGCAATAGATAAACAGCAAAAGATCAGTAATTGAAGATATGAAAAAGATGCTGTTATAGCTGACTCCATAAATTGATGACATATATGATTTGTTGCACATAAAAGAGGATTTCTTTTAATAGAAAGACAGAAACTGTAAAATAATAAAGAAGCATGACAGGTCGGAAGGTTGTTCAATGCAGTTGGAAAAAGTTGTTTAGAATTTACTGATGGTCGCAAGTACTGAATATAAATTCATCACAGATACCAGGCTTACAATACGAAAGTGTTGGTGTCACCACTTAGTTTAGATATTCTCTTGTTTAAGAATTCAATACTAGTATACTATATATTATCAGAAAAAAAATAGGCAGAAACGAATTTATCCGGCTGTTTAATTATCGTAAAACTTGTTTTCTATGTATATTAATGTAATTTGATTATGTATGACATTGTTGGTTTTCTTTCTAATTTCAGAGCAATGCATGAAAAAAGATTTTCCGATTGGAATACATATCAGAACTGTTCAAAATCATTAGGACTAGTTAAGAAACAAGTGAAATTATGTAGAACTAATTTAGATTTAATGAGAACATTTTCACATGCAGCATATATAGCTAGTAAAACATGCCAAGAACAATTTGCCGATAGACGATGGAATTGTTCCTCTCTGCTCAAAGTACCAAAATTATCACGTGATTTATCTCGAGGTAAGTTCGTCGTAATTGCGCCCGAATTAGTTGTTTTAGGAAGAGACTACAACATGAAGGGATAAAAATAGAAATAGGAAAAATATAAAGATAAATATAAATACATCGAACCATGTATATCTTTTCATATGTAAGTAGTTCAAAAGATCACTTCGTTCAAAAACAACTCAAATGTTTTCATTTCCTATGAATCTCCATCTAAGGTCAATGTTCTTTTAATATTAGGATGTTAAGCAACTTCTGAACTTTCAACTTTAGCTGACTATGCGGTATGGGTTTTGCTCATTGTTGAAGGCTGTAAGGTGACCTATAGTTGTTAACTTCTATGTCATTTGGTGTCTGTGGAGAGTTGTCTCATTGGCAATTATACCACATCTTCTTATTTTTACATTCCAAGCACTCACGTGATGACACGTTTTATCACTTGAATAGGCTTTTTTCTACGACCTTTACATGTACAGAAATTACAATTTACCTAAAGACTATTTGAAGAAAAAATGTTTTTATAATGGTAATAGACAAACAATTAACGATCTTAGATATTGACCTTAAGAGGTTCGCAGCTTATGCAAGACGCCCAATAAATCTTAATAGTCTATAAATAATTGATACAGCTATTAACATAAGCATTTTTACAAAACTAAAAACCGATTAGAATTTTAGTGTAACATTTGCTAGATGCTTCTTTGGGGGCTATTATAATACTTTGTATAAATCCACTCTGCTTCAAACAAAATATACTCTGAAAGTGACATTATCAAGATTCTTTTCTTGGTTAACGACATATTTGTTACATTTGGAGGACGTGTTTTTTTCATCAAATGAAGAATGAAATCAAGCTAGCTTTATCCTTTAACTTCGCGTTCTGCTATATAGATGATGTCTATTTACTAAATAATTCAAAGTGTGTTGATTATGTTGAGCGCATCTTTCCCATCGAACTAGAAATCAAGGATACAACAGATACAATTAAGTCTGCCTCATATCGTAACTTACATACAAAAATTGCCAATGAGGGTCGGTTGATAACAAAACTTTATGACAAAAGAGATGATTTCAGTTTTCCAATTGTGAACTTTCCATTTCAATGTAGCAACAACCCATTTCTTCTTTCGTGCGTTGTTACAACATGCTGTAAGGTCATTTGTAGCAATTTAAGCCATTTGGAACGGTCTCATGACGTCAGTGTTACAAATACAATGAACACACACATGCTTTAAGTTCAATATTTATTTAAACTCTAACCAATGGGCTTGTCTTGATCTTTATGTGTATGTAAGCTATGCTTATACAATTACGTTCTTTCTTCTAAAACACGTCCCCATGTTTTAGTCAGAAGTAGAGATATTGGAATTCAACAATCATGGTTTACATCGAATCACTCATTTAAACTTCAGCACACTATATTTCCCCATCGTCTTCTGTTTTCAATTTCCTTAAGAAAAAAAAAAGGTTAAAACTTCGATATATATTTTCGTGAGTTTTCTAAATTATGGATATTTCGGCTAATGCGAATAAAGCGAAAACTTCATACGCAAAAAATTCCGATTTACGGTAGTCTTCTTAATTTTAGATTTTCCAATTTATTATGATATCGAATGCTCAGATACGGTTAAATGAAATATTAATATTTACATTTTTATGATTTTGCGTGGTATTCATTCTAAAGTCACTGGCCTTATAAGAAAAATGATATATTGCATTGCCAAATTGTTAAATCTTTATAAACAGAAGCTGGGTGATGTCAAAGCCTTAATTTGAATGCATGGTTGAATGCCCATGCATTGGTTGTCAGCAACGTATCTAAGCATGGTGTCAACACTCCTTTCTCATGGCATTAATTTCTGTTCTCAAAAGTCACAAAAAATGTATTTAATCTGTTAGAAACCGTTCAAATCAACACGAATATATTTGAACTATGGTATACATTACTCGTAATCATAAAAACATTTTATTTTTTTTTAATTTACAACCTTAAATATTGATAACGATACAGGTTCAGTATTTTTTTCCTGTCAATCTGATCTAAGTTTGACAGACTTGAAATCTAATGCGAGCGATAAAATTATTTAAAAGTTTTACTTCTAATGAATGACATTTTAATAGTTCTACACTGCTACATTTTGCATCTGTATCTAAATATGTTCTCTACAAAAAACACGACATCAATATGTTTTCTTGACTTGTATCCATATATTTTCATTCGTATAGTGTGGGAATTTGTCTCCCTATTCCTCTATGTTGAAAAATATGTCATCTTTGATTTACATATATCTTCGATACATACTGGCATATCTTTCATTATGGACTGTTATACATTGACGATAAGGGTGGACATAGTACGGAAAGCATATTACGTCTTTTAAGAATGCTATTAAAAATCACCAGAAAAAACTTGATGAAATGGGTATTATTCGATTCTAATTTTTTTCTTTGTACAATACCGCACATTGAAATATATAAATACAACTCCAACATAAGTTAATTAAGTCCTTTAAGTTAATCTAGTTAAATGGATTCTTTACATTTTTGGAGAGGCTAGATTACGTCTTAAATATGTAAGTCAGCATAAGCGAGCTGGTCATTTCACATATAACCATAGAATACTTAATTTTGAGCAAATGCAAGTGTATTTATTTATATACAAATCATTAACGTCAAAAATAATGTGATGGATGTTACCTTGTTTAGGGTGTTCTTGTTGAAAGCAAATGTTTAAAATTACAATTTAAAAAGTACATACAATTCAAAATGTGTTGACAGTTCGTAACGGTGATATAAGGTTAAGATCCCATTTAAACGTGTCTTGTCTCCCAATTTCACCAAAATAAAGAAATAAATTCAACGAAGTGTTTAATATCATTACATGTAATCAAGGCTGTGTTTGTGAATAGACGAACATCGTAAAATCTTATGTCGCCAAATTGAGGTCGCCAGGAGTGAAAAATTTATTTTATTACCATGCGAAATGATATCACTATCTCCAAACGTAAAAATTAACGCAAAGATATAAAAATCGTATTTCAGACCTCCCTGAATTCGAACAATATCAATCATAAAATTCTGTCGAGTTTAGTCATTCCGATATATGTAGCTATTCATGTTGACAATAGAATTCCTTGTTTAACTCCATCATTTATTGAAAAACCATGTCAGATAACAATATCAAGCTGTGAATTTTATTGTTACCTTTATGAATCAGGAAAATCGTTAAAGGTATGAATACTACGACACTGTTTTCTTTTAATGTAGATAATTTATAGAATGCAAACCCTTATTTCTATTTTAGGTACACGAGAACAGTCCTATGTTTATGCAATAGCATCTTCTGCATTAGTACATTCCATTGCACGTGCTTGTAGTTTGGGTGTTACCACAAAATGCAGTTGTGGATCACTTCCTGACAAACCGCCTGATGATCAACATAAATGGGGAGGCTGTAGTGATAATGTGAGATATGGGGTATATTTAACACAAAGTTTCACAGAGGCTTCACTTACACGGAAAGGGAAACCAAAAACTTCAAAGAAAGCGGACATGAACCGACATAACAACGGAGCTGGAGCACAGGTATTCTACACGTGTAGACGTCATCAACCTCTATATGTTCCTAGAATTTCGGCGTTACCACATGTTCATATCAATTTAAGTTCGGATCTCTGAGCATTGATAAATTATATATTAAACAAATCTTTTCATATAAACGTGTACCCTTATTGCTATCATACAACATACAGGGGCGTTTCCAGGAGATTTGAAAGAGGGGGCGTAGAATACAATCTTTTGCCGAGCGGAGCGAGGCGAAAATTTTTTTGGACCTTTTTTTGGCTAAAAAGCATAAAATAAATGTGAAATGCACTAATGTAACGGTTCCTGACTTGGAGTATGTATATTTTATAGTTAAAGTGTCAGGGTTAGATATTTTTTATGCCGAATTCTCTCCATTAATTGTCTCTGGTATATTAAAATGATTGGATGGATCTTAACAGCAGTAGACCAATAACGAGAAATTCCAAATTCTAGGGTATAGGGCGTTACTTTACATTTCAATAGTCCTAGGCCAGGATTTTATGAACGGGAGGCGTAATTCCGGTTTCCCTGGAATAGGGTCCATGGGGAAGGTCAGAAGCTCCTGGATTTCAACAATTTAGCAACAAAATTATGAAGTATTATAACAGACTCCATGATAGACAAATTGGTGAAAATAGTCTGCCTTCAGATCATTCAAATTATGTATTGATTAACATGTGGATATCAAATCTTTGGAAGAAGTTGTAAATTCAGTTAAAAGGTTATATGAAATGGACATGAAAAATGATAAATAAATCTTTAACGATAGCTTTTTCTGAACTTTTGATATACCCGTTTTGTTAAAATATACCTTTTCACTGTTTTGGTCTTTTGGAAAATGTTGTTTGTGCTGTATTTAGACCCCTTTACCAAGAAATTTGTTTTGCATGCACACGTATAAAAATTGCGGTTTTTATCCAACGCAATCATAGGTTTGAACGTTGTTTTCAATTTAGTAGATATATAAAAAGATGTGGTATGAGTGCCAATGAGACAACTCTCCATCCAAGTCACAATTTATAAAAGTAAACCATTATAGGTCAAAGTACGGTCTTCAACACGGAGCCTTGGCTCACACCGAACAGCAAGCTATAAAGGGCCCCAAAAATTACTAGTGTAAAACCATTCAAATGGGAAAACCAACGGACTAATCTATATAAGAAACGAGAAACACTTATGAACCACATCAACAAACGACAACTACTGAACATCAGATTCCTGACTTAGGACAGATGCAAACAGTTGCAGCGGGTTTAAACGTTTTAATAGTACCAAACATTCACCCTTATCTGAAACAATAGTGTAACATTGTATTTATAATACCCCGTTCTAGATAGTCAAATCTGACCCCTTCCAATGCAAGGCGAAAAAAACCTAATCCCATTTCAATTTAGCTGAAAATGCAACCCCGTTTGTCGGAACATACCTTGTATCATATATATAGCGAGTATCCCCCGGGTAGATGTAGAATGGCCATTGGGAAGTGTCACACAAAACAACCATTTCATGTATAGATTTACTTACCGCTTTGGTTGTTTAAAAAAGGTGTCCAAGTCACCTATCGAATGGGAGAATCAGTATAAAAAGAAATCAGAGTATGTGTTTAATTAATGAATATGATAAATTGCCATATTCAATACAATATAAGCAGATAACGATAGTTTTTTTTTTTTTTTTTTTTTTTTATTTTTTTAAAGGGGGGGGGGGAGCGTACGCCCATTACGCCCTTACCTGGACCCGCCCCTGACATAGGACATACAATAAAAAAGTCATGACTGTATTTCAATTTCTTTTTTTACAGATGTCATAATGTATCTCCAATTTCATTTCTAATCTAAATGACCTTGGATATCCCATAGCAGAACACGAACTTGAAAACGAATTGGGGAGCGGGGTATAACTGTGTGATTTCTGCTCACAGTTTTTCTGTTTATTTTCTTCTTATATATAGTCTTATGAATTAAAACATGAAGACTGTTGATGTAACACCTTTCAAATTAGGATAAGATAGTAAATACGTTTTTATGTCGAAATTTGGTACGTAACTATAGATAGGTTTGGATTGACACAATTTAGCAAGTGTTTTTCCTTTTTGTCGCCATGTTGGAGGTGTACGTGCATAAAATCCTTCATAAATCAGCCTAATTCAACTTGTTATATTTAGAAAATGTTGTTATCTGAACAATTTTAATTTCTTTTAGCCTTGCTTGATTCATCACTACGATCTAGTAATGATCTATCATAAGACTTGTTTATACAACATGTTTCAATTTGGTTAGTCAAATAGGTAAATCAATCAGTTACCCCCTCCAAAATGGCGACCAAGGGAAATAACTCAATCTCAAATTACGACATATAGAAGCCTATCTTTTCTTCTTGTAAATTTCAAAATTTTATCTGTAAAAATAGTCGTTATGTACTAAAATTTGCTGTAATGAGACGTAGAACATTTCTTAAACAGATTGTATGCTTCAGCTGAATTATAAAAGTGTGAAAGTAACAAAAGAAAACTAGGTAAACCATTTATATCAAACACGTATGACATGTTATGGAGAATAATATGGTAAGAAAAGGATAAGAGTTGCTCTTTTCTTACTAATATAAAACATGTGTTTATTATAAAATTTGCAGATTTTAGCGTCAAATTGAAACGTTAATTAAAATATTGCTAAGTATTTATTTTTTCTTTAAATTTTACTGGTTATGAAATATGGCCCGACTTCACAGTGAAAAAATGAAATTTGATAGCAAAAAAATAAAACAAATTGGTTAATAGCCATGTGTGTGTGTTCCCATTTTTTACGCTGAAGATCTCTGCAATACTTGATGAAATAATGCAATTTACATGTTATAAGAGCGTATGTAGATTTTCGATACGGTCTTTATACGGAAGAATATTTTTTTATCATTCTAGAAAACGTGGGATGGAGGACCATTAATAAATATAAAAGGGGGGATACGAAGGGTGCAGTCAGAGGCCATGAGTCAAAGAAAAAACAAAACAAAAGCAATAACAATAGCCGTCAAAATATTACCCAGAAAGCTTATGGTTGAGCAAAACGAACTCGCATAAAAATAGTAAGCAGTTCATGTTCCACTACATGACACCCATCATGTTGTTCATATAAAAATAAGAAGATGTGGTAGGATTGCCAAGGAGACAACCCTCCACAAGAGACCAAATGACACAGAAATTAAAACAAAAATAACAAATCCGGTTTGGTGATGCAACAATAAAAGAAATGCTGACGGGTTTTGATAGTAATTTTGATAAAAAGTATATGCAGATTTTGTTATAGAACTATTTCTCACAAAACAAGGCAAAGAAAGTGAATAGCTTCACGAGTTATAAACGTCTGGATATAGTTCAAAATCATGATTTTAGATTCTAGCAAGTTTTGAGCTACCCCCGGTGAAAATTAATTTATATAAATAGTTTTTTTTTGTGTCAGTAAATAATCTAGAAAAAAAAACAAATGCCGTTTGTGTACTCCTCAGTCAAAAGAAATAATGCTAAGTTTAGAAATGATTACAAACCCATGCTCTAGGATCAATGTGATTATTATTGCCCACGCTTGGCTTACTTAAATGGTAACTTTAAATTTCAGATAGTTTCCGATAGTTTGAAAATAGCGTGCAAATGTCATGGAGTTTCAGGATCTTGTGCAATAAAGACATGCTTCAGATCAATGCCAAACTTTTCAGCTGTAGGACTGATGTTAAAAGACAAATATATTGCTGCTGTTGAAGCAAAAAGAAAAAGAAAGAAATCAAAGAAAGTTTTTGTACCATTATTTCCACATAGACAAAGTGTTACAACAAACACGTTAATTTATTATACAAAATCTCCAGATTACTGCAGTCGAGACCCCAAAACGGGGTCAGAGGGTACAGAGGGGAGGTAAGTGTCTTTTGAACAATTATTAAAAGAGTTATGATAAGTCTAAGATAGGCATTCTTCATACCTTGTCCTGAATCTTAAAATTATGAAGAGGCAAGGAAACATTACGACAAATAAGGTAACTTCATATTCTTAATTGTAAAATTTTCATTAAAGATATGCAGCAATATCACAACACCACTTACATATCTAATATATTATTTATCTCTGAATTGATTTTATATTTTAGAGCATGATTTTTCTAATTTGAATTTCTCGGATGGGGGTTGCTGGTTACAAGGAAGCTTTAAAACAAGTCCTTTAGGGGAAAATTGGAAGTCATTACTTCGAAAATTTAAATGTTGATTTACCTACTGTTATAAGATGACGTCTACTTCCATTTTCACTGAACTAGTACACTATTTTATTAAGGGGCCAGCTGAGGACCACCTCCGGGTGCGGGATTTTCTCGCTGCGTTGAAGACCCATTGGTGGCCTTCGGCTGTTGTCTGTTTTTTAGTCGGGTTGTTTTCTCTTTGACATATTCCCCATTTCCATTCTCAATTTTACTTCGCTCGTATTTCAGTTAACAAAAACTATAACTTATGACGTGTAACATGAATAGACAAATGAATGCAACATATGAAATAGTTTGACCTTCCGTGGCACCAGCCAAAAAAAAATAACGAGATCAGGTTTAATTGCCGATTAGACAAATATCCACAAGAGTTCAAACGAAGCAATCATCGGTCACCATACGCCCTTCAACAACGAGTAAAAACAGTATACCATATAGTCAACTATAAGATGTGAAATAATTCAAACGAGAAAACTAACGGCCTAATTTATAACAATACAACTTACGAAAAACAATTATGACAGACATGAACCAATGACAACCACTGAAATACATATATGATTTGTAGACTATTCTTTTTTAACCGGATTTTCGAAGGAAAAATCGTTTATTGATTTGGGGATGTACGGCGGGCGGGCGGGCGGGCGGGCGGCTGTCAAACAGTGTCCTTTCATTTACATGAAATTTTGATATGTTGTTTCCTGTGACTAAATGAAGGTCAAGTATAATTTTCACGACTTTAGCTTTTCTCGTTCTTGAATTTTGGACCCTTTTAGAAACCAGAAATTTACTTATTATGTGATTGAGTTATTTCCCTTTGAACAGAACTTAATAAGTTTATGTATAGCTGAGATGTATAGATAGTCTATCAATGATTGTAATTGTACAATTGATTAGTCAGAGGTTGTCAAAAATTTCTTATAAGTATTTTTTTTAAGTCATGTGTGTTTTGAAAGTAGATGTCACAGTTGTTATTTGGTATTTTATTTTTGTTGTGTGTGTTAATTTTAAACTTTTACTTGATCCTGATTGGGTGTCCGCATTTTCAAATATCATTTTCACTAGATAAAAATCTATTTTTATCAAAGGATATATTTCATTACATTACATTGTGTAATTAAAGTTGTTGACATTGATAGATAAGTTGTAGATAAGATATTAGTTTGTGACAAATGAAAGAAAAAATATTGGGAACTATTAATTATATTTGATTATAATTTGAAAACATCATATCTAATTTTAGAGAACAATTATTTAGTGGTGAAATCATATCTAATTTTAGATTTGCATTACTGGTTCATGGAATCAGTTATTTCCCTTTGAACAGAAATTGTTTTAATTAAAAAGTATTTCATCAAAAATTGAATTTTTGGGGTTCTTTGATTAGCTGATTCTAAAAATTTACTTAGATTTTGGATATTGGACCATAATAGGTAAATGTCCAATTTCAAATTTTTCAGTTCTTTGACCACATGTATTTTGTGTCACAAACCTATGCTGTATCAAATATTCAATCACAATCCAAATTCAGAGCTGTTTTAAGCTTAAATTTTGTGTCCATACTTTCTCAACTGTTCAGGGTTCGACCTCTGCAGAAAAATCCGGTTTGCTGTCTCCCTGACAGCCTCTTGTTTTATTTATGCCATAGTGTTGTCAGTTCCAGTTATAAACACATATCTGTTGTAAAGTTGAAGCATATAAATAGACGCTAACGTCTACATTCCTTTTCGAGTTGAAGAGGTGGTATAGTTTGATATTTTTTGCAAACAAACAAGAAATACTTTTAGCAGCAGTCTGTTTTAAACAAAATGTCATAGGAATGCATAAACAAAAGTGAAATAATGGAAAAAGTTGAGATGTAACAGTTTTTTTTTCAACTATATTGATGGACATTTTTTTTAACGAAAATTTGAGGTCATTTTTTTTATAAATCTTAGTACCAGGTTCTGTCCTTTGTCAATTTTATCATAATTATTATGAATTACGGAAGTATTACTTTTTGTCTCTGAACAGTTTTTTTTTTGTCGTGAAGTATAAGAGATGTGCGATATATGTCAATGAGAAAGCAACCTAACGACACAAAAATTTCAAAATACATCCAGAGTTACAGGAGGTGGTACCAATAAACAAGTTCCTTTAAAATATGATAATGGCGACACCGCCTTAAAAACCGAATATCAGTAATTGTCACCCATGCAACGCGTTGCGGGGGACATATAAATACCGGGCGTCCGTTCGTCCGGTCTTGTTAGCGCTCTCACATGTACAATTCTTGTCAGATTTTTATTAAACTTATATCATTGGTTTATATCAGCAATGTCTTGGACAAAATCGAAAATCAGTGCCGATCAATTATTTTTAAAAGAGTTATGCCCCTTGGAAACATTAATTATAAGGAAAATTGCATCGTTAGTGCTCTCATTTGTACTATTCTTGCCAGGTTAATATGAAACTTATATCATAGGTCTATATTAGCAATGTCTTGTATGAGTTAAAAAATCAGTGCCGATCCATTATTTTTAAAAGAGTTATGGCCCTTGGAAACATTAATTATATGGAAAATTGCATCGTTAGTGCTCTCATGTGTTCAATTCTTGCCAGATTTTTATTAAACTTATATCATAGGTTTATATCAGCAATGTCTTGGACAAATTCAAAAATCAGTGCCGATCAATTATTTTTAAAAGAGTTATGCCCCTTGGAAACATTAATTATAAGGAAAATTGCATCGTTAGCGCTCTCATTTGTACTATTCTTGCCAGATTAATATGAAACTTATATCATAGGTCTATATTAGGAATGTCTTGTATGAGTTAAAAAATCAGTGCCGATCCATTATTTTTAAAAGAGTTATGCCCTTGGAAACATTAATTATATGGAAAATTGCATTGTTAGCGATCTCATGTGTTCAATTCTTGCCAGATTTTTATTAAACTTCTATCATAGGTTTATATCAGCAATGTCTTTCACGAGTTCGAAAATCAGTGCCGATCAATTATTTTTAAGAGAGTTATGTCCCTTGGAAACGTTAATTATATTGAAAATTGTATTTTTAGCGCTCATGTGTTCAATTCTTGCCAGAATTTTATAAAACTTAAATCATAGGTTTATATTAGTAATGTCTTTCACGAGTTCGAAAATCAGTGCCGATCAATAATTTTTAAGAGTTATGCCGTAGGAAATATTAAGTGTATGGAAAATTGCCTTATGAACGCTTTAATGTGTACAATTCTTTACAGATTTTTATGAAATTTATATTATTGGTTTATATCATCAATGTCTTTGAAGCTTTCGAAAATAAGTGCTGATCAAATATTTTTAACGAGTTATGCCCTTTGGAAATATTAATTATAATGGAAATCACATTGCATTTGATTTGAAGCCTTCATTTTGTCTAGGATATTAATAAAAAGTTTGAAAGAACAAAAAAAGTGTTTTTTAATTATTACCCTTGTACCTTGGATAGATAAAATATGTTAAACGCGGAGGACATTGGAACTCTGTTCTTTAATTAAACCTAAAATATACTATCAAAGGTCTGTCATGAAAACCAAATTCCCTTTTAAAGGACAAAAAATTAAAGACACAAATAAAAACGGCTGATTACGAGTTTCCGGTTGGGGACATGCATTTGCATTAACATAACCAGTGGAAAAACAAAAGGAAAAGAAACATACAGTAAATTCAGTTCAGAAAAGTTTTTAATTCCTTTATTATAAACAACAAAAATATAGAAACAAGTGTAAGGTTTGTTTTCTGATTTTATAATATTTTTTTTTCTTTTTAGATACTGCGATAAAGGTAGTCAAGGTTGGGGAGGCTGTGATATCCTTTGCTGTGGCAGAGGTTATAAAAGTTTTACAAGAGAAATTGTGGAAAGATGTGAATGTAAATACTATTGGTGTTGTTATGTCAAATGTAAAGAATGTACCAAAACACTTCACCTAAATGTGTGTCGATAAAATACCTCAATTGTTGTTTTTTATATGTTTTCTATGAATCTCGATGGAAACTAATATTTGTTCATTTGATATTTAGCAAAAAGAAAGACAACTGAACTTTTGTACTGTCTAGTACTTACATGATGATGTGTGACTTGAAAGTCCCGGGTTACTATTTAGTGCATGGGACTGATGTCAGATGTGTGCACTAATTTAAATGAATCATGTTTTTTTTTGTTTTTATTATGATTTTTTTTCTCTGAGTAAGAAGGTTTCATTTTAGAAAAAAAAATATGCAATTCATATATACCATAAAGAATAATTTTCTATTTATGTTATGTAGATGTCCAGAAAAGCGACATTACTTTAAGTTATATTTTATCCGAAGCATTCGTAATAGGCGATGTCTTCTTCTTTTTTTTACCCCCCTCCCCCACAACGTTGTCCTCGAGCACGCACAGCTAGCTGTGTTCCCATCTTATAAGTTGAATTATCTCCCGTTGTCCAGAAAAAGAGTCGACTAAAATAATTCAAATATAAAATACATTGCATGCCTTTTATTAAGTCTGAAACGCCTGCTACTGAAGTCTACAATGTGTTGCTTCTCCTCTAATACTATGTAGATATACAGCCGAAAAGCACTTGCGTTCACCCAAATTGGGTTCAAATATAGCAAGTGTTGTCAAAGTTTATCTTGGATTTGTTGGTAAAAGTCATTATTACTTGGTTCATTTTGCAATTAATAATCTTTCTACTTAATCACTAAGATTCTAATTGGGAATAAGTTGGTATGTCTGTTTATGGTAAGTTATTTGTTTTAGAGGACCTCGCTGCTCCCAGGTGGCAAAAAGCATATCACAATGTATATTTGTTTTACATCACGTGCTGTTTGTTTTGTTTTTGTTTTGTATATAGATTTATAAAAGATTTGGCAATGTTTACTTTTGATGTTATTTGTATATCATGACTATCTTTTCATTATAATATATGTAAATATTTAAACATGTCAATAAAATTGTTGTGAAAAAATAATATTAAATTCGTTTGAATAAGCGTCTTTAGAGTAAAAATACTTGGTGTATTTTCCTAGTGTGAGATTTGAAATTCTCACCCTATCACGAACACAGTATATAAACGCTGTAATCAAAATCCACAACAACAGATGATATTGAAATACTACGAGAACCATATGTGCTCCTCTTATCACAAACTTGTCAATATTTTATTGCAATTTTGGACAGACATTTTAATAGCTTTAGTTTGGTTTTCACACAAACATATTTCCTTTTAGTAAGCCTTATTTGTTGTATATAGATTACGTAAGAAGTTATCGGACAATGGTCGGAATGTGTTGACAGATATGATTTTTAAAGTGAAGCCGACATGTAATAAGATGTATTTCGGATTATTTCTATTGTTAATGTCCGGCTCAAATATGGTATAGAGTAAACATTGATAGCAAGATTACATAAGTAATTAAGACATTTTTATAGACAGTCACCTCAAGTTAAAAAGGAAATGGAAAATCAAATTCAAGATTTATTGAAACATAATATTATAGAGGAGTCTAACTCTGATTGGTTGTCACCAGTAGTAATGATTCCTAAGAAAAATACAGGTACATGGCGCCTAGCGATAGATTATCGCAAGGTCAACAAGGTCACAGTACCTATGAATTTTCCTTTACCCCATATTGAAAGTGTTTTTGACACATTAGGAGAAGCAAAACCTCTTTACTTTACAAATTTAGATCTTAAAAGTTCGTTTTGGCAAATTCCACTTGATGAAGAGACAAAACATAAAAGTGCATTTGTCACACAATCTGGTGTCTATGAGTGGAATCGTCTTAGTTATGGCTTAATGAATGCAGCCACCACTTTTCAATGTCTCATGACGCAAATATTTAGAGATTTAAATTGGAAATTTTTGTTAGTCTACATAGATGACATCTTAATATTTAGCAACACTTTTGAAGAACATCTTGAACACCTTACTCAAGTTTTTGATAGAATAAAAGAGGCAAATTTACGTTTACAGCCAACAAAATGTAATTTCGCAGTTAAGCAAGTCAAATTTTTAGGCCACATTATTTCCAAAAATGGAGTTCAGGTTGACCCAGAAAAAACGAGTGCAGTTAGTGAATTCCCTGTCCAAAAAACAGTTAAACAGGTCAGAAGTTTTTTAGGTATGGCTAACTACTATCGTCGCTTTATTAAAGGTCATTCAGATATTGTCTCGCCTTTGACAGCATTGCTGCGCAAAAATGCACCATTTAACTGGACTCCTAAATGTCAACAAGCATTTGAAACCATAAAAAACGCTTTACTCTCTTCACCAATTCTATCTTACCCAGATCCAAATAGGCCTTTTATTTTGACATGTGATGCATCTGATCTAGCAATAGGCTATGTTTTGGGACAAAAAGATGATCAAAATAGAGAGTATGTTGTCGCTTATGGTGGTAAATCACTGAGTGATGCTGAAAAAAAGTACTATACTTCTGAAAAAGAGTGTTTAGCCATAATTAGAGGCGTTGAATCCTACCGTCCTTATTTGGCTAACTCTCACTTCACAATAGTTACTGATCACAGCGCACTCACTTGGTTAAAAACTGCCAAATTATCAAGGAGACTAGAACGTTGGGCACTAAAATTACAAGACTTAGACTATGATATCATTCATAGACCAGGCAAAAGCAATGTTGTTGCAGACTGTTTAAGCCGTAGGCCATATGATGAGGCACCGGCTATACAATCTGTAACGAATGCTAGACAAGATTCTGAGCCAGATCCTGAATCTGAATGTTTACCAAATGGTTGGCAAACTTACACTACCTTTTACTATGATGATGAATCTCCTGAAAATTGTCCTGTAATATCTGCCCTACAAGCTGATCTACTTCCTGAAAACTTAGCTAATCCTATCTCTCTGTTTGAAAAGCAAAAACAATGTCCTGATTTTTCTGATATCATTAAATATCTGCAAGATAGAGAACTTCCTGAGGATGAGAAACTCAGACGTGCAATTGTATCTGAAAGTCCTTATTACTCTATTTCTAATGGTATTTTGTATCATTTATATCAGAGAAGATGTAGGAAGTTACCAAAGGAACTTAGGCAAATTAAACAGATAGCATTGCCTACTTGTCTAAGAGAAGAGGCTCTTCACTCATATCATGACTCCTTATTAGGCGGAGGTCACTTAGGTGCTGATAAGGTCTATTCCTCTATGTTGGAAAAATATTATTAAGAATTTCACAAAAATAATAAAATCTGATCAAAATGGTACCATGACACAAGTTTGATCTCTATGTTGATGGCATATCAACTTGAACTTGAGATAAAGGACATCACACTGCAATTAAGTCTGCTTCATAACTTGACTTACTTCTAGAAATTGACAATGAAGGTCGCTTAAAAAACTCAACTTTGCGACAAAGTAAATGGATTTTTTTTAATTTGGTTTGAAAACAAACACAATTTGCTATTACCTCATATTAGCGGGGTGTTTGTTGCTGTCATACAAGTCAAGGGTTTTGGCTATGTAGTATATAAGTCAAAGGTTTGGTGCTTTTATATGAATATATGATTTTAAGATGATATTCATATATCAATGAAAACAGTAAGCAAAACTATGTAGAGGTCAACAAATGTTCTATTCTTAAAAAAAATATGTCATTATGCAAATCGCCTCTAGTTTCGACAGTTGTAAATGAATAATAGAGACGTCAAAGATCTGCAATCACTATCAACTTCCCTTAAGGACGAAAAGAAGACGGCTTACAAGGCTCCTTACAACGTTTGCATTTTTTTTAAATCTTTGTCATATAAATGAGAGCTTTTGTTCTTTTATATAAGTGAGAGGATTTGTTTTGTCATATACGTGAGAGGTTTTGTGCTGATATACATCTGATGTGTAGTCCCCGAGGTTATCACCAGACAATTGAAAATACGGATATTATTGCTTTTAATTTTGATTTATAAGCTCTTTATTTTTTGATAATTTTTCATACTTTCAAAAATTTTGGCCTCTAGCATCAGTGAAGAGACATGCACATCTGGTGCAGAAACATTGGTACCGTTAATACTACCACTGGTAGACATCTCTGCTAGTGGACTGTTAGTCTCCGATGGTATCATCAGCCCAGGTACCCTTACTTTGGTACTGGGATGAAAATACGGATATTCTGCAAATAAAATTTTGCTATTGCAAAATTTTGGAAATTAAGGAATATATTTCCCTTATGTAAAGCTTTGAATCCTTGCACTGCTTTGGCTATACATTTGTACTTTTTTAGTCTATGAACTCTTAACCTTTTTAGATAAAATTTTAAATACTTTTGCCTCGAGCATCACCGAAAAGATATTTTTATCTGGTGTGCAGAAAAATTGGTACCGTAAACGTTAGTATATAAGTGAGAGCTTTTGCTTTGTCATATATGTGAGAGCTATTGTTCTTTTGTATAACCGAGAGGATGTGTTATGTTATATAAGTAAGATGATTTGTTCGGTTATATAATTGAAACGTGTTCTGTCATATTAGGGAGAGGTTACCCAGTGTATCACAGCACTTCTATGTTGACATGAATTGTTATTGATATAGTCATAAGTATAAATAAACTATTAACAAAACTTTGAAATTTTCAAAATACTAAGGATTTTCTACTCCACGCGCGTCATGCGCACACAATTTTATTCATGATGCGTTTATAAGTACTGTCATATAAGTGAAAGGTTTGGTGCTGCCATATAAGTGGAATGTTTTGTTTTTTCATATACGTGAGAGGTTTTGCTCCGTCGTATATGTGAGAGGTTTGGTGCTGTCATATACGTGAGAGGTTTGAAGCTATTATATAAGTTGGAGCTTTTGTTCTTTCATATACGTGAGATATTTTGTTCTTTCATATAAGTGTGAGCCTTTGTTCTGTCATATACGTGAGATCTTTTGTTCTGTCATATAAAAAAGTATAACAAAAAAGTATAACAAAAAAGTATAACAAAAAACTCCAAGGCAAATTCAAAAAGGGGAAGTCCATAAAAACTGACAAAACCAAACGCTATCAATCAACGGAACAAGGGAAAAACAACTGCAATATTCCTGACTTGATATAGGCATTTTCAGAAGAAAATGGTGGGTTAAACCTGGTTTTATAGCTAGCTAAACCCCCCACTTGTTTATAGTTCCGTTATATTGACAAAATTGTGTAAGCAATCCATATAAGTGGGATCTTTTGTTCTGTCATATAAGTAAGTTGACGTTTAGAAGTTTTTGTAAAAGATTGATACAATATTTTAATTACTGAACATTTGTGTTGTATTCATGGTATTGTTATTATATAGGAGAGAAGTTTCTTACCGACGCCGGCGGTTCCATCTTGGGCTGTGGGTAAGTTACCCACAGCCGTTTAAGCTCACTGATAAGTGGAAGGATTAAAAAAATGAAGAAATTGCATGCACTCCAAAAGGATAGAAAACGGAGGTGATGACAGACTAAGCGTCTCTTGCTTTGCAATTCACACACATTCAAAGTAGTACATTCCGGAATAGCTCATGTAAATAAACTCATCATATATACTAGGCTTAATTTTTTTTAGATCAGGCGCCCGTTTCGTCTAAAAAAGATTCACCTGGAATAAAAAGTTGAAAAAGCCAAGTTGAAGAGCATTGAGGATCCGAAAGGTTTTGCCGATTACAACTAAGGTAACATATTCCTGGGATTAGAAAAATTAACCTTAGTGTTTCGAAAAAAGTTTTGTAAACAGTTTATTTATAATTATGAGAGGATTTGTTCGGTTACTAGTATATGATTGAGTATATAATATTAACGTTGTGTTCTGTCATATGAGGGAGAGGTTTGATACTGTCCTCAAGTGAGAGGTTTAGTAGAATGGTTGAAAAAAGAAAAACTGAGGGAATCGTTAGCAATTCAAGGACCAGTGCTGCAAGAAAGGCAACCTATGCACTAATGGGAACTGGCCTCCACGGCCTGAACGGATTAATATTTATAATACCAAGTCTCATACATGTTTGGTGTTGTCATATAAGTGGGTGATT